AGTAGCTCCATGGCCATCTCATAGCTTTCGATCCATGCCCCAGGTTGTAAGTCGGCCGTGTAATTAGGCACCTTTCAAGGTCCCTTGAAGTCCTTGGGCAAACGCTCGTTACGCAGAGCCGATACCAAACAAGGTACGCCCCCGGTTCTAGCAGTCACGCCTGCCTCAATTGAAGTCGTCGGATAAATCGGAAAAGGCTGATAAGCCGCCTGCTGAGCCGCTAGCTGAGTCGCCTACTCAATTTGCTGACGCACTCTGTCTTGATTACGCAAGTTAGGAACTCCATCACGCGTCGGGTCGTGCCTGCGCGGCTGGTCATGGCGTCGGACATTGCTTGAAACGGACGGTGAGTCCATATGCCTGCTGTAACTCCGGCTCCGGCTCGGACGTGGAGTTGAATGAATCTTGTCCCTGCTATAAGAATATGCATCCTGTTGTGCTAAGGCCGTTTGAAGAAGCTCTCTGATCCTTCGTGTTTCAACCGCCGTCGAAGAGTCGCCATCGACTAGGAGAGCCGCCAATCGCGCTGCCGCAGCAATCATGTTCTCCAGTGGATTAGAATAATGACCCGACGGTGTTGGTACATGTTGAGGCGGAGCAATATCCGGACATGGGGGTTCCATCACACGTGGCTGAACCGGCGTTCCTGCCCCAGGTGTCGTCGTACGATTTACCTCCAGCGAGTTACTGAGCCCTGCACCAGGCGTGCAGAAAAGGTTTCTAGGTTCATACACCGTAGGCAGACGGGACTGGTGCCTTCTCCTCATGACCTCATTAGACGCGTTCTGATCCATTATAAGCTGGAAAGCCTGTGCCTGAATCTGCTGAGCCCGAGCATCTAGAGCCACCCGTTCCGTGGCCTCCTGACGTCCTCTGTCGCCAGGTCTTCTTTAGCTTGCGCTATCTCCTCACATAGCTGCGCTACCTCCGCATCATGCTGAGCTTGATTCTCTGGGTTAACCACGGCTGTCAACAGAGCCATCAATTTATCCATCAGAGACATCAAAACCTAAGCCGGTGGGAGGACTGAGCCTCCTACTCCGGCTGCTGTCACCACTGCTGACCCGGAAGTCATTGCTGCCGCAGTTGAAGAATTTAACCCGGGCTGGGTACCAGCCATGAAGATCCCGGCTCTGCTCGGCGGCTCAAAGGGGTCCGAAATACTACTGCCATCGGAATAGCCCCCAAGCCCGCCATCTTGCAGTTGATACAACAAATCCGTCTCACTCGTGGACGACTCATCATCAGAGTAGATGACCGTCTCACCGCCAGATAAAGATCCTTCAGAAAATTCCCCTCCATGGATGCATCCCACGAAGGCACGCTTCACGGCGGGCTGAGCTTGGGCGGGTCTCGCGCGCTGAGCCATCTCGATGATGTCGGTGTAGATGTCCGGTTCAGGTCCCGGCTCGCCGATCTTGCCGATAAAGACGTGGATTCCTCCGAAGGGGGCCAGGTACCCGTACTCAATTGAGCCGGTTTCGGGGCCCCAGCCTGCGTCCTCGATTTAGAGCTTGCCGCGATGACTCTTGGTCATCTGGCCCACAGCGTATCCTTTGAGCCCTTCGAGGCTGCCCTTCAAGAACTCAAATCCACCGTGCGCTGGCCCCACGGTGGGCGCCAACTGTCGTAGAATTGTCACGACAGATGTCCTAGTGAAAGGACTTAGTCGTGGAGCCATCACAACTAGGAAGCCTAAAGGGGTTAAAACAGGACAAAGGACACATGGGTTTATACTGGTTCGGCCCCTTGCGATGAAGGTAAAAGCCTAATCCAGTTTGAGGTGATATTGCTATGTCTCGATTACCAGGGGGCGTAATCCGCTTGACCTAGTTCTCGATTTGATGTTACTTGTCCTGAACCACCGCCGGGTCGTTCCTTTATATACAGAGGTCGACGCCCAGCGGCTCTTAGAGTCCCGGTCGGCTCATAAACAATGTCTGGCTTGGTGACTATCTATTCCCGCCTTACAACACAAGCCATACATACATGGCGGTTTATCTCTACGGACCTTAAGTCGCCTTTGGGCTATGGGCCCTTAACTGAACAACCATCTTCAAGTGTCTACGTGGGCTTCATAGTAATGAATCGCCATAGGTATGACCCAGCCCCTCCTGGGCGGGTCATGCCTAATAGTTATATCCCCAACAGAAGGAAAGAATAACAACTACAAGACAACTAACACTCGCTGCGAACAACAAGCGTAGCACCAACTCCACATCCGACTAGTCCAAAGACATCCACCAACGACAACACAACTACAAAGCAAAAGAGCCTGCCCAACACCAAAAACTTCGTCGCATCTCGACCGACATCGGTCACCACCGAAGAGCAGCAACTTCTATCAAGCATCTCTTATCGACGCACCATCCTCCCTTGATGCCTAAAGGAGATGGCAAGAGGATGGCAGGACTCGATCTGACCCGAGGGACGACGTTGAAGACGCCGCGTGCCGATCCAGCACCGGATCAAGGCTTTCGCCCGAAGACAATTGCCAACACCAAGCGAGCGAGGAGATGGTGACACACTCGGCGACGCCTCCAAGGAGGGAAACGACACCCACGGGTGCCATCGCCGTCGGCCCGGTCACCACCGGACAGGATTTTCATCCGTAATGCCACGCATCTCCGCACCTCCAAGTGTAGGCAGTACCGACCATGAAGTCTCGCACCGCCATCACCGCAGCAACTTGCCATCGAAGCCGTGCAGCCGAGGTCCTCCCACACCTGCACTGCCGAGAGAATGCGACCAGTAGCCACAAACCACCCCAGACGAGGAGCCGCAGGAGCTAACCATGCTGTGCAAGAGCTGAATCCAGCACGACGGCCTTCACCTCGCACCAGGGGACTACCGCACAACGAACTTAGCCCCAAGGCCAGATTGAATCTGGAGGGAATCCGATCTGGCCAGCACCTCCCTCCACCAATCCGGCGCCATCACATCCGGGAGCAACCCAGCGCGCCCAGCACCTTGAGGCGTCCGGCCGCCCACTGCCCGCCATGGACTCCCTCCTGGTAGGGCCTCACAGCGCCGCCGCCACCATAGCCTGGAGCTCGCACCGTCGCCCCCATCTGAGCCGGCGCCCCAGCCTCCGCCGCCACTCTTCTACGGCCCTGGCCTGAGTCCACCTCTCCGCTACGCCTCTGCCGTGCGCCAGTGACAGCCGCCGTGGATCCCGCTTCTGGTCATCCCACCACCAGGCGACCCCGAAGACGTCCACTCCGCGCGAAGGGGCCAGTCGAGGGGTGCGCCTCCAGCACCCGCCGCCTTCGTCGGCCGGGCGCGGCCACCACCGCCGGCACCGGCGGCGTCAGCAGCCGGAGTAGTGGATCTGGCCCTCTTTTGGTCTAGGGTTTGGGGGGCCTCCAGAGCCGCACGCGCGTGCGACCCGAGAGGCGTTTTCGGGAGTGGTTATAATGGGTTGGGAGCACATATTGGTCTTCTTGAATGGTCACGGAGATTCATGCTTTGGAAGTAGACCACACATGGTCATATTGTAACAGTTTTCGCCTGATTTTCTATTCGAGTGCAGCGTTTCGGTGCCTAGTCTCATCTGCACCCGGTCAAAAAAAGAATCACAAGATTTTTTTTTAAAATTCTAATTTTTTTTGCATGGTAGAGAATTTATTGCGTGAGGTCCGCTCCAATTTTCATATCATTTAGACATCTGAGTAGCTCTCAGCAAAAAAGACAAATCGGATCACGACAGTGCATTAACAGTAAACTTTTTTACAGATCCCAAATTTGTCTTTTTTGCTGAGGGCGGGCCGCTCAGATGTCCAAATGATTTGAAAATTGGAGCGGACATCACACATCAAATTATCTATCATGTAAAAAAATAAGATTTTTTTTTGAAATTTTCTAGTATTTGTTTCGATTTTTTTTTTCGAGATTGAATTTTTTTTTCGAGATTGTGTTTCGATTTTTTTTTCAGCGCGGGTGCAGACGAGCCTGGGCTTAGAAGTGGATTATCGATTCTATTTTACTTAATAAATTGACGAGACAATTCTTATACTTTCTTAAAAAAGAGCAATGCTATTTTTTATTGGAAAAAATTCTGATATATTCATCTTCAATCATTTGGTAGTATAAGGAACATCAAAATAATAAAAATTACATCAAGATCCGTAGACCATCTAGTGACGACTACGAGCACTGAAACGAGCCGAAGGCGCGCCGCTGTCATCGCCCCTCTCTCGCCGGAGCCGGATAAACCTTGTTGTAGTAGACAGTCGAAAAGTTGTCGTGCTAAGACCCCACATAGAACCAACGCACCGGAACAACAACCGCCGTCTGACGAAGAGTGTAGATCAGAAGGATCCAATCTGAAGACACACAAAAAAAAGACGAACAACGAATAGATCCGAGCAAATCCACCAACGATAGATCCGTCGGAGACACACCTCACAAACGTATAGAGTTGAGTCACTTATTTTGAGATGGAGGGAGTGTGGTTTAAGAGCAATAAAGACTTTCAACAATTTACGTAAATGAGACGCAGGTGTAGCATTTTCGCTAAAAACGTGAGAGCCGTTACAATTTACTCTATCTGTCCCATAATATAAGAGCGTATTGACACTAGTGATATGTAAAAAAGTTCATATATTATATATTATGGGACGGTCCCATAATATAAGAATGTTTTTGAAAGTAGTGATGGAGGGAGTAAATGAGTGTAGCACGTATGGATTTTGTAAATCTTTGCGTAAGAATAGGATTTTCCGAGATGGTGAGAAAGGGTGCGGCGGCGTGCGAGAGCGAGAGCGAGAGGGCAGCGAACACACACGTGCCCACAACCGACTACCGGGGCCCACCTGGCGGCCCGTAGAGGGCCTGAGAATTCCCCACCTTGAGATCGGCTTCTTAGAAAACAACCGCGAGATCGGGTTCGGGCAGGCCGCCGAGTCGTCGTCGTCGTCGTCGTCGAGCTCGATCCCCGCCCCGCCACCCGTCCCGCGCCGGCGCCCCCCCGGAGATCGGAGCAGGATCCCGACCTCGCCATGAATCCGGAGTAGTAAGTCGCTTGCTCTCGCCTCTCCTCTCCCTCTCGTTGAATCAATTGGGGGGCCGGGGATCTCGCCGGATCTGGCGCCTGCTGCCGTCGATTCGCGGGATTCAGTTTGGACGCGACTCTTAGTCCCCGCCTGCATTCGGCGGATTTCGACCGTGGCCGTGCATGATCTTCGTCATGCTAGGGAAAAGCGCAGGGATAGTACTGTTCGTGTAGGAAGATCTTCCTTGGGTGCGTGCGATCGCGTGACCGACGCGCCGCCGGGCTCGCCCTCCTCCAGCTCAAACCGCCGGCCGGCGAGAGGTCATTAGGGTAGCGAGAGGACGCGACAGATGGCCTCTGTGCAGGGCAAGAGGATGGAGTTGGGATGAGGATGGTTGTGTGGTGGAGTGAATGTTGCATGCTAGATGCACACACACACACGGTTGTTTGTACCAGATGATGTTTCCCACATAATTAGAGATGGCTTCGGTGACGATGACAAGCAGCAAGGACCCAGCTGTGATGAACCCTTTATCCGACAGTGGTTTAGCCATGTTATTAGGTTTCCTGTCACTGCCCAACTCCTGTGTTTTTTCATTCCTCTGTTTTGCACAAGAGTGATTTTTGTTTTCCTGCATTTTTTCCATCCTATGTTCCAAACGGGGACTTTATTGTTTTTCTTTTAAGCAAATGCGTTCTTACTGTGGACCGCTGTCACGGGTGTTGTTGTTTCATTAGAAGGATGCTTGCTCTTAAAGGGTGACTATGGTGATAAGCCTATGACTGCTCTGAAAACACTTCTCGTTGTTCTATGGACAAGAAATTGTTGGTTAGCATGTTGGTGGTGTGACCCTATGATGCTTAGTGCATCCATACGTACATTCTACAAGCACGATCGGATGCTTGCTCAATCCGATTGGTGATGTTTTTGTATTGTGCACATGGGTATTGCTTCTGTACCTTATGAATGTACATCATCGCTCACGGAATCGTTCTCGTGGTTAGTGTTGTAGCTGTTGTGTAGCTTCACCATTGGAAACTGTTACTTATCTATTCAGCTTCATTTTTCTATCTTCTTTTTTTTGAGAAAACGCAAAGACTTTGCATTTCTTTTCATTGAAAAGTGGGGGAACAGGTTACACGCCTCCTAGGAGGTGGTTTGCAGTTTATCCTTTTTCTATCTCTCTATACAAATTTTCTAACGTGCACTGCGGTACTAGAACTGAATCAAATTTACTGAATATTACGTATATAGAATACCAAAATATCTGCCTATGAATTAATGTACAAACTTCTAAGCCTCAAGATATTGATTCTATCCAATTTTGGTATAGTTATCTTAAATTTATTGATCTTTGTATTGCTGCTCAATGTTCTAAGCATGGATATAATGACTATGTCTCATTTTATTATTATTGCCTTGTAAATGTTGTCATTACTTGTTTATGTCAAATAGTAAGTACATTTGATTGAGACTAATATCCTGTTACTTGACATGGCAGTGACTATCTCTTTAAGCTTCTGCTTATCGGAGACTCAGGTGTTGGCAAGTCATGCCTTCTCTTAAGATTTGCTGTAAGAATCCCTATCTAAAGCATGATTTGTTCACTATCTTTTATAGGTCTTCCCTTTTTAAATATGCATCTTCATCTTAAAAGTTTGATATAAGTTGTCTTCGGGATATCATGGAAACTGTCAATTTATTTTTAGGCTCAGTAAACTGTATGATTTCCCACTACTTAATACGAATGAGGAGTTCATTGTTGGTAGCTACTGTTTCTTAACAACATGGAGATGATCCCTATAACATTCTTGTTGTTACTAGTTAATTTACTCTGACCTCCTTAATATCGACTCTTTTGGCAGGATGACTCGTACCTGGAGAGTTATATCAGTACTATTGGTGTTGATTTCGTAAGTATATTTACTTTCTTGGTCTGACTGTTAATGTTCTGGCTACCTTAATTGAACTTGTAGCCTTGTTTTCTTCCAACTTTGTCGATAGAAAATACGTACCGTGGAGCAAGATGGAAAGACTATGAAGCTGCAAATCGTGAGTCTAATCTTTCTTTCTTTTATGTCCAGTATGCATGTACCATTGAATCCAGATTTGACAAAATAGAAGACTTTATCGGGAAACATTTAATTTATAGCCCTCTTTTGTTTTGTGGATTTTGCTGGATTTTCCCTTTGCATAATATAGCATGCCGTTATTCATCAGTATTTATGTGGTTGTTAGTTGAGGCCAGTTCACAGGAAACAGAAACTCCACTATGCCTGAATATGTAGGGAGTTGCCCAACCCCTTTTTACCTTGTGGATTTTTTAGTTCTATCCATTTAAATTACTGTTGAACATAAAGAATAAGAGTAGTTTAGCCCATTAAATTAAATGTTTATATTAAGTTTCTTAGTTCGCATAAAGAATCAAACTTTCAAGATCTTTTTATGTACCAAAGTTTTGCCCATTTTGAACATCATATCTAGGGGCCTGATAGTATGTCATTTAAATACTTTGGTGGTACGGTAGCTCATGCTGCACCTACTGTTCGCATTCGGCGATTCTTCCTTCCTTTTGTGTGACACATTACATTTAGTGATGCAAGATATCCTTTTCCTTGTCCTTAAACTCCTCTTTGGTACCTTTGTTTTTATCAGTGGGACACTGCTGGGCAAGAACGCTTCAGAACTATTACTAGCAGCTACTATCGAGGGGCTCACGGGATCATTGTAAGTTTGTTTATGTGAAATCTTATTTTTATTTTTCACATGCTATTTAACATTGCATAAATATTCCACTTTTTATATATTTTGAATACATATATACAAATGGGGTTGCAGATTGTCTATGACGTGACAGACCAGGACAGCTTCAACAATGTGAAGCAGTGGTTGAACGAGATTGATCGCTATGCTAGTGAGAATGTTAACAAGCTTCTTGTAGGGAACAAATCTGATCTCACTGACAAAAGAGTTGTATCATATGAGACAGCGAAGGTATCTTATGCTTTACTCATATCTGCTGAAGCATTCTTTCTGCTCTTTGTGTTTACATTTGGTGTATGCAGGCATTTGCTGATGAGATTGGCATCCCATTCATGGAGACCAGTGCAAAGAATGCCTTGAACGTTGAGCAGGCTTTCATGGCTATGTCTGCTTCAATCAAGGACAGGTGTGTGTTCCCAGACGGTTTAATTAGCACAGGCCATCCTACTAGTCCACTTCTTTTTTTTAACTGCCATCATTTTACACTCTATTTACTGCTCATTGATGCTCTGTTCCTATAGTATCATAACCAAAATTGCCCTACACTCTTTAGCATGTTGCTGTTAACTGTTCTATGTTATTCCTCACGGTGTTGTTCTATATACACCTCATAGAAAGAGCATATAATTATGAATAAAAATCTTGGTTTCCAGGATGGCGAGCCAGCCAGCCGCAAACAGCGCTCGCCCAGCCACGGTGCAGATCCGCGGGCAACCTGTCGAACAGAAGACAAGCTGCTGCTCTTCTTAGAAATGCAGGCAGCCGCCATCCGTGTTACCCAAATGGAGACGCAAACTTGGCCGCGCCATCCTTGAGTCCATGCTTCTACATAGGCCTACTACATCTTACACCTTCATTCCATTCTTTCTAGTGTACTTATTAGCTCTTGAATCGTTGGACTTGTAACACCGGACGGAGTTTGGAGACAGTATCTTCTTCTAGTTGTGTATCTTGAATGGTTATATGTTATCATTTGCAGCTGTTGCTTTTCTTCCCTAAATTTAAGGTGATCTCTACTTTTACTTGATCAAAATGTTCCGTTCTTCAAAATATTACTCCCTCCGTCCGGAAATACTTGTCATCAAAATGAATAAAAGGGGATGTATCTAGATGTATTTCAGTTCTAGATACATCCCTTTTTGTCCATTTTGAAGACAAGTATTTTCGGACGGAGGGAGTATCAGACAGTATGCTTATCTTTAGGGTATAGAAAGTTCCTGACTATAGTTTTCAAGGTGCACTTGTTGATTGTTGAAGGCAGCATCAGGAATGTGCACAACATGGCAAGTTTGCCAACATTAGATCAACTGGGGCGTGTTTGGTTGCCTGGGCACATCGCCAACATTAGATCAGCTGGGGCGTGTTTGGTTGCCTGCATCTTTTGTCTCGGTGGGCCTGGTTGAGTTGCCTGTATTTGTGCTATTGGTATGCAAAGCAGAGCTGTTTTGCTCACCCCGTGGTGGTCTTAGCACACAAATGCAGCACTTCATATCATACATAACATAAGAACAACATAATAAATTAACAGTAGAAACAAGAACAACAGCTAAATAGTTCATAATACCTAATTAGACCATAGTTTAAGACATCAAAGGCATCCCATGCCCCTGCACGACCCCAGGGTGTTGAACCCTGAGCAAAATATACAGGTTTGCAGTAAGTTCAGACGATCAAGCCTAGCCCGGAGAGCCACATGACGAGCAAGTCGCTGTGGATGATTGTGTGACGCCGACAGAAGCAGTCTCAACTGCTCCCGAGCACCATCTGCCCCTGAAATGTATGGACCCTACACCCAAAACTCACACCACTTGTTGGCAGAGGCTGATGACACCAGGAGGGCTGAGGACTAGCCATTTCTTTATCACCGTCCTAAAGGCAGGCGGGATGACCAGCATGGTGATCTCTTCCTCGTTCTTGATCTGCACGTAGAACCCGTCGACTCCCGTGCACGGTGCACCCCCCTTGTGGCCGAGCCTAGGCCTCCGGTTAACGCCCAACGGCTGGCTCATGGCGGCAACCCTGCCCGACACCACCTCCCTTCCGAGCTAGCAGTTGATGGGGATGATGTCCTCAACATCCTTGGTGCCGGTGATGTACGTAGGCCCCTCTGCCGACGGTGTCCCGCTCCATCTTCACAACCTTATCAGTTTAGTGATGAGAGTAAGCAAAATTACAATAACCATTGGTCGTTGCATTGGTCATTTGCAACTGTCACTGATAAGTGGCGATTACACTTGGATGGTGCTACGATAAAAGCATAGCATTGTCAAAGTGCAACTGCCAATGGTCAGTGCTATGATCAGAAACGCCATCAAATGCATCAATCTAGTATGCACGTACATGCTCCCCCACCTTCATCGAACCCAAAACAGATAAATAAAAACAAAAGAGCTAAAGATAACCGGGAAGATACGAAGAAAATCAAAAGATGAAGAAAAAGAAAGAGGTAAATACATCACTGACGCCTGAACTTGCCAGGAATGTGCATTTTGATGCCTGAACTTGCAAAATACATTAAACTGGTTTCATAACTTGACATGGACGTGTATATATGGTTCAAATCTCGTTTTTATACATTCATGACGTGGACGAGCCACGCCAGGGTGTCAGGGACAAGGCGTGTGGCCTGGCTTTGTTTTGTGGAAAACCCCCCAAAATAGTTGTTTTCTTATAAAAAGGCCCTCAGAGAAAAACTAATAAATTGTAAAAATAACTAAACTTCTTATTTTTGACAGAAACTTGCCTTGTGTCAAGTGGCGGAGTTACATGAAATTTCATGGGCGGGCCAAACATGTGAGGTTAAAGCTGACGTCACAATTCTTTCTTTTATGGGACCCTCAATCTTCACTGTTTGATGCTGCGTTGGGCGGGCCACGGCCTGATTTTGCCCCAACGTAGCTCCGCCCCTACGTGTGTCACTGGAGTTTGCCATGCACCCTCATGTGTGAAATTGCCATCGAAAAGCATCAGGGCTGGAGTGCCACGCATATAACGTGTGGCGCTTAGCGCTTACCATTTGGGGCGCCAGCAGGGGTTGATTGATCACTGAGCTACTCAATTAATCACCGAGTGAAGCATGCAGTGAAATTAAGGGACGTGCCATTGCCAGCTGTTTTGCTGGCCGAGTGACGTACTACTACACTTGTGTGCATGCACGCATATGGTCACAAAGATGAGAACGCACGCCCCGGCGTGCATGATTAAGACGTAGGGTGTAGGCCCACCATGCAAGAGCAGCATCTAAAGCAAGTCGAGAGTTCTGGCCTGACAGGCTGGTTCTGGATGCAACTCATGGATGAAGATAGTAACAACACATGAAATCTGCAATCTGAATACACTGTTTAACTTCAAATGAGTTGCAGCTAGAACCAACTGTCACGGATACAAAATAAAAATCTTGACTACCTGTCAGCACCCATGCTTTAACAAATACCACGGTCTTCACATAACGGAGTGTAATGTGGATACTACTATAACAGATCAAATGCACACTGAGGGAAATACATTATTCCTCCCGTGCAAATACCACGCGAGCACTACTGGAATAATCGTTGTTGCCGAGTTCTTTCATATTTGCCGAGTACCGAAACACGGGATCACGGCAAAACATATGTAAGCTAGCCGAGTATGACTCTCGGCAAACAGCAGGACTCGACACATGCTAGACGTTACCGAACCCCCGTCTGGATGTACTTGGCAAACATGAAACAACTCGGCTTATGAAGCGTATGTCGAGATTCCCGCCACGGCACCTGGCAAAGATGTGCCATGTGGCATGACTGATTGCAGTTGACAGCTCCATAAACTTGGCACCTGGTTGCAAGTTGAGTGGTAACAAACTATATATGTTCTTTTCCATAAACTTGTAACCATTTGTGTTTATTTTAGTGCTTTTACAATTTATCTAGTGTATGTTTCTTTTTCATTTATTGCATAGATTGTCCCATGCAACAATAGGATGGAGTGTGTCTTAGGGTCACTTACATCATTGAGCTGCAGAAAGGACCGAAAAGGACTTGTATGGGAGGCAAAGGATGGGTCCAGTTCATTATGAAGAATGGTCTAACCGGCGGAGAGATGATATGTTTTTGCTTGATAGGACCAGTTTCCACGATGCAGTTTCTCTATGTCGACGAGTCGGTCAGGATGACCCATTTCGTTCTTACGTCTTCAACAAAAGAATCAAGCTTTGCTCAAGGATGATGAGACTGGCCGCCTCCTTTGACATGCGTATGCGCTGGGCGTAGCAGCGTGGAAACCTCGACAACTGCTGGGCTGGCCTCCATGACCTACGTGAGGACGACATCGAGGCACTTCCCCGTGCTTCCATGGTGGTGCTGGTTGGCAATGGCGACCACTGTAAATTCCGGAGCGATCGCTGGTTGAACGGCTAGGACCTCGCCTCGTTTGCCCCAAGGAAGGATGTTGGGAGCGACAAATCCGGCGAGGCGTGATGTTACGACGGTACGTAAAGTTGCGCATGTCTGGGTGCGCGACGTGGTTGGCGTGCTTATAGTCCCGGTCATCTCTGAAAGCATCGCTCTGCTCGATCGCTTACGAGATGTCTGCCCGACGGATAAGGACGGCCGCAACGGCCAGTATTTGGCTGCCACGGCCTACCAGGTGAGGTGATCTTACCCTGTGCCAAGCTGATATGGAAGTCACGGGCCTCAGATTGCGGGCAGCGCCACGGCCTTTCCACCGCTCGGAACTGCGTGCTCTGCAGTTGGCTACCATTTCTCTCGTGAAGTTTGGTGGCCACACTGAGGCGTTGGCACAATTTTAGTTAATAAAGATGGCCGTATGCATCACTTGATGCAGAGGCCGGGGAGTTCCCCTTTTTCGAAAAAAAAAACGCTGAGGCGTTGTGGTCTTGCTCAACACACAGACCGACCATTTACATGTTGTGCGACTGGTGGCCTCACACTCGGCGTGTACGCTCCAACCCGGTCTCTCTCTACTGTTGTCTGGGTTATCGTGTGCGCCCCCTGTCAACGACAACCACCTAATATCGTCGGGAAGATTTCAACTCGAAATATGTGGGGCCAAACTCTT